GCTGGAGCTGGTGCTGGCACTGGCAGTGGAGCTGGTGCTGGAGCTGGCTCTAGCTCTGGAGCTGGTGCTGGAGCTGGCTCTTGCTCCACAACTGGGGCTAGAGCTGACTCTAGCTCTGAAGCTGGAGCTGGCACTGGCTTTGGAGCTGGCACTGGACTGGGTGCTAGGGCTGGTGCCAGAACTGGTTCTAGCTCTGGAGCTGGGTTTAGAGCTGGCACTGAAGCTGGAGACAGAGCTGCAGGAGGAGAAAATATCACCAACATGACTGCCTTTCCCTGTGCTTTTCCAAAGACAGAGTACATCCCCCTGCCTTCCAGAGAAGCCCCAGCCCTGGTCCCACAACAGGGATCTTCTCAGACTGTAGCCCACCGCCTGAGTGGTCTGAGGCTCGTCTTTCTTCCTGGCCCTGCACCACCCTCTGCAGCCTCCTACCTGTGTGGCCCAGCTCCGCCCCTCCCTCTCCATCCCATCCACCCTCCCCAGGCCTTCTCACCTTCAGGCTCTGCCTCAGTGAGTTCTGAGTGCTCTAGCTGGGCCAGGAGAAGGTGGGCACGGCGCTCCAGATCCGAGCCGGGCATGTTGAGCTGCACGTAGGCCACCAGCTGCTTGAGGCAGGGAAAGTCCGGAGGTTGACAGAAATCCTCTGAGTACTGGTCCAGCCACGTGCCCAGGATGGAGGAGATGGCGCTGGGGTGAGTGGGTGGGCAGCACAGTCAGAGGCCTGGCCTCTCCTTCCCCATGGCCCTCCCATGCACCCACGTGGGAGACTGGGCTGCTGTGCCTGTCCCTGCCCATCCAGAGGCCAGCCCACCCCAGCCCAAGGCCCTGTGGCTATGCCGGAAGGGGCTACAGAGAACCTCCACTGGAGGGAGCCTCTGATCAAGGGCATAACCATCTGTCCTCTTCTGCAGGGAAGCCTGTCTCCCAGGCCCCCTCCCCACTGGTAAAGTCCATGAGGGACTGGTCTTCTGCCCAGCACCCACGGGGCCCTGGTGGCACCTCACCCTGTAGCTCGTGTGCTTACATGCTGCCTCATTCCCTGTGAGCTCTGTGTGGGTCTTGTCTTCCCACTGATACTATTCTCCCAATGGGGGTGCGGGGGGGCGGGGCACACTGCCCCCAAGCACTAGTTGGGCACTTTTTACCAAGGAGCAAGGCCCAGGTGTGAGCCAGCCTCCTGCCCGTGGCCCCCGATACAGGACGGGGGTGGGCAAGCCTGGCTGGGATGGGACTGTGTGGGGATGAATTGTTACAGGGGCCAGCTCTGAGCCCCCAGCCTCCCCTCTGCTCTCCAGGGTGCCCAGGACCCGCCCCCAGCTCTCTCTCTCCTTTCCTCCTGTGGGGGAAGCCCCAGACCTCAGCCCTCTAGTGGGAACCCCCAGATGTGCAGGGCCAGGATCCTGCCCAGCCCTCCCCAGCCACAGCCCCCAGATGTCCCCACTGTAGAGACAGGATCACTCCCTCTTGACCCGAAGCCCACTCACTTTTTAAGTTGGTCCTGGGGTCCGCCGTCCTCGTCGGAGTAGGGGAGGATGCACCCATATCTAGAGGAGGCCGTGAGGGCGTCACGTCTACCGTACCTGCTTATGACGTCTAGTGTTACTGACGCCCCCGCTAGGATGGAAGCCCCGGAGGGCAGGCATCTTTTCTGCTCTATTCCCTGAATTATGTCAAGTGCCCGCATACAGTAGGTGCTTCATGTATGTTTGCTGAATGAATGGGCCGTAACCAGTTCCTTCCCAGGTCTTTGAGTGGGCCTGGGGCCCCTCGGCCAGCCCCGGGGGTCCCTGCTCTGGCTACACCCAGGACAGACAGGGACTCCCAGATGGAACCTGGAACCTCCTCTACAAATAGGAAACTGCTTTGCC